TCCCCTTGCCTATCACCACTCGAGCTGTGGATCTGGCATTATAGGTTCATCTCAACCTCCGTAGATGACCATCGTCTACAATGACATGCAGAAGGGTATGGAGCTGCCGGCATGTCGAAGCACCTACGTGGTCCCTTTACCAAAAACCCAGAGTTCAACAAACAACCAACGTAGGTGTCGCAATCGTCAAACAGCATATTTTATTCTGCACCATGCCAGTACCATCGTGTTGGTAGTCTTCGAGTAGTTTTGAAACAGATGAGTCAAAGACATCCATTATCTAATGCATTGGAATTTGTAAAATCCAAACAATGACCTCCGTCCATTTAACATATCGGTTGCGAAGCATGCTCTCAGCTCCGATTGAAAGGTTCTTGCATCACCTTACCTATTTTATTAAGCTCATAAAGATGCAGCGTGAGGCACTTAAAATGGGTCATAAACGGTACTTTATCGCACAGTTGTCACTAAGTAGTGTGACAGAACACCGTGGACTGTTCAGACTTAGCAGGTGACATAACACAGTATGCTCTGAAAGCTCAAATCTCAGGCAAAACTTAGGGAGAAGCATGCCAAAAGGAAGGTTACATGGGAGAAAGAGGGGGATGAATCGCTTAAGCAACTGAAACGTCCACTTTGAACCGTGCGGAGAAGGCACCTCACTACTTCCTCTAGACACGAATGCTGGTGATGCAGCTGTGGGTGATGTAAATCCACAACTTGCAGCTGCCCAGTGTCAAGCACACGTCAACACTTATTGGCACTTGAGCTCTCAACCCAACAACTGGTAACGTGTGGTGCCGTGACATTGACATTTGATTCCGCCAAGACTAGAGTAGGAAATAGACGGGTTTGATTGGTGCCCGCGCGATTACCAAAATAGTGCAGATGAATCCTTCATAACTTTACGCAAAACTCTTCCGAATTTTTGATGTTTATAGTAGATCCACCTAATGTTTATTTCTCGGGGACATTTCACTCCCACCATGGCTGTGCCAAAAGAGATTTACGAGGTAGAGAAAGGCCTCCTCTATGTTAGTGTGAATTTTTCAGTGTATGAGATGTTCATTTTCGGAGGTGAAAGTAAACCTATGATGCCCGAGCCGGAGTTCGGGGCCATAGGCAAGCGGGAGAGGCGCAGATGAGCAGTGGCAATGCACACTGTAATGCTGATGATCTATCTCACGGAGCAGACCTCGTAGAAACCGGAAATTTCGCCGTGAATATCTTTTATTTCTAGTAGATCAACACTCAAATTACTGACTTTATTACGGGTCAGATGTGTCATAGTTTTCCTATGTCCACTTGCAAACGAACCTACAATAGCTGCTGTTGTGAAGGGGATTATGGTGTAAAATGATAGAAAAGGGCCGCCTTCATGAAGACAATTTAATGCAAGTGAGCATAGCTGTCTAAATTGGCTATTTTACCGAGTGTTTGGTTCTAATTTCGAGAAATCCTCCCAACGATTTCTACACTTTTTCATTGCCCGAAATTGCAGTAACAGTTCTACATTATTCATGGTGTCAGTAACGGTGCAAATAAGTTGTATTGAATCGCAGATTTGGCTATGCAGGTAGGACTGAGTGACAGGGAAATTGTTAGATTGCTTGAGCTACTTGATACAAAAGTGGAGGCTTCTAGCAACTCAAATGGAAAGGATTTACTAGGATTGGGGAAGTGCCTATCATCTCTTCTTCAAGAGGTAGCAGTGTACATGATCAGACACTTACGCCCTTCAATACCCGTGCATGACCCTCTCACCGGGTCTCGGGATGAGCACAACAATCTGGATCATTCTGTTCGCAGTGGTCCATATTGCCCTATGCACCACACTTGGAGTCTGACCAAAGTCGCTTGACCCAGCCTTAACGCTCCCTTATCTTCATGCGCATTTATTGCCCGTCCATCTATCTTCTTCACAATTTCCCATTGCTACCATTCTGATGCCAACTTTCTCCTACACCATTTAAGCATAAATCGTGGGTTTGCAGACTTCAGTTACAAGTCACTCCAGACAAAACGATAGCAGAGGCCATATGCCAAGGAAAGTAGCTTTCTCTCGACCATCCGTGGCCATGGCCTAGCTAGGTGGTTCTATCGCGTACTTGACGTTAATTCGTGCGTTCAACCGGCTGCTGTGCTCCTACACACGATAGTCTACTTGTTAAGGAAGCAGTTGAGTCCCCATAACTTTGCCTTATCATCTTTTCATAATGTTTCATTAGCATTCAAGCAGTGATAAATGCAAAATTACACCTGTGACTGCATTCTATTTTATTTGAATTTGTGTTCGCCTGTAGTGCGATACACATTCAGCATTTGTACATCATTTTATGCGAACACGTAAGGCAATTAGGCATGCTGAATTAGCCGGTCATTTATACAGTGCGCTGCTTAACTCGTCTCCGTCTTCCCTTTTTCTACCTTATATCCCGCAGTCTGCATCTCACCACTGCACATATTTCCACCATCACCGTTGAACCCACCATGCAACGTGTCAGTAAGTGATGTGCAGATAACGGAAACACGGGAAAAGTAGATGGGCAAATGACTTCTACTAAACACTGTTTTAACTACACGCAGGTGATGAAAGTGGGATTAGTAAACTTGGAAATAAGTTGTGCAAGGAGCAATTTTAATTTCGAACAGACGATATCGTAGGAGGTAACACGTCCACAAAATTATCAAAACAGGCGAGACGAAAGATTGAATGAAGTTATTCGCCAAAACCACGTTAAGACTAAATTCGAGAAAGCTGCGCTACTTCCTATTTTTGCCACGAAACGTTTGTGGATTAGTACACTATGAGGTTTTGCTGAAATATGGACAAAGTGCATCAGAATTGACTACCAATGCCTCTGTGCAATGTCAGATTGGCAAATGCAAATGCACTCACCATGACAATAAAGCAGGTAGCGTTTGATGGAAACGGAGTTGTGCAGGGTGCCGAAGTAGCAATTTGTTAATGGCAAGTTCACGTGGAAGGTATTAAACCCCATCAATTCACTGAAGGAAATGGCACATTTGGGCATGAGTTTTAAATCTAGTTAAATGACCATTTATTTCATCAGAATTAACTTTTAATATGCAGTGTTTTCGTTAACTGAAACGGAAATGGAAAATTGCAACTTAATTTTGCTTCCTTAAATTGCAATCTCCATTTGATTATTTTCACTCATTTTCATAAAAAGTTCTGTGGTTAGAATTTTACATGGCAGGTTAACCTGGCAGACATACAATTGAATTGCGTTTTGAGACTTGATTATTGTAATGCTTTAGAATGCAAATAACAAATGAACGAGGAAGTGTAGGAGGTTAACAGAAGCACCAAGTGTATTAAATTAATGAAGACAGGTAGATAACGTCAAATAGTGAAAAATGTTCTAAAAGCGATACATCTTGCTGCTTGGAAGACACGCAAATGCAGGGTTACCAGGTGGATGAAGAAAAAGTGTGAATGGCTACTTGTACCAACATGCTTGTGTGTGTGCATATCATTTTTGCGCTTTGCACCATCAAACCATTAGGTTGGCATTTTCCTCAACAAAGTGTCTGCCATGAATGAATTGCTTTTTGGAACGGATTGAATCTGTCAAGTCTAGCAAAGTACATAGTCAATGACTGTCGAGTCCGCCTTGCGGATTTTATACAATTATGATTCCGAATGTATCTTCTTTGTGAATAGATAAAGCGTTGATTGGCTGCTAAAAGAGAATACGAGACCGAACGGGAATGAAAAAAGTGCATAGTTTTGAACCTGTTTGTGTCCGGCACTTCCCACGGGTAAATGTTCAATCCAAGCTTGCAATTTGCCACAAGCACAGCCCACTGTAATGCTGTGTGTATGCCTGGGAGATTCCAAGGATGCGTGATAAGTGTTTGTTCAGTGGCATTATTTGCCCAGATGAATAGATTGTTGTCTACAAATTGGTGAGTTTGGCATTCACGATGGCATTTAAAGAGCGGTTAACAGGAAAATTGGCAAATGACTCTTTGGTTGGCACTGCATTGTGTCACGGTGATGAGATGACCACGGTAAACGAAGACAATATAAGGTGAGGATATCGTCAAAGATGCATGTTGTCTGAGTCGATGTGTGTGGCTTATTTTCTGGGCCATTTCCGTGGGGCATTTTTGTGTCTCAAAAGTTCAACATTGAACTACTGAGTGTGTCGATGAGATGCATGTACATGCACAGGTACTATGTATTACTTCACCATTCATGGGTGTCATTATGAGCACATCTTATTGAATCAACAAGAAAGCAAGAGGTGGAATATGAAGCAAACGATACACAGTCTTGTCAGGTGGGACGGCAGTCACCGAAGACGGAGCAAAGCACTAACACTAACCAAACAGACGGACCTCCCTATTTTCGTACATTTGGCATGCCACTGCAGGCTTTTCGTTAAAGATTTTGCTAATGTCACTAGCCCACCCCACACATTAATCATAAAGCAGGTGAGAAAGAATTTCTAGGGAGAAAAAGAGCAATGAAAGGCGTTTAAAGAACTAAAACGAATGTGCTGCTCTACACCGATTCTAGCGTTGCCCCACTTTGAATCGAGCGTCCCACCGTTTGCACTGCATGTGGAGGCATGCTACGTAGTCGTGGACAGTGTACGTTCACGCAGGGACAACGACGGAAGGTAGCACGTCATAGCTTGCTCTAGTAACGGACTCAGCAAAAAAGTGAGTTGCAACATTGCAACATAACGTGGGCTGTACGCTACGCTTACAATGGTTAGACACTTCAGGTACTACCTGATAGCAAGGCAATTCATAATTAGAACGGACCATTAGGCACTTACAAGGTTAAAACAATGAAGGTGTTAGACCGTCCAGTTTCACACCAGCACAATTAACTGCAACAATAAAATTTCCCAATGCAGTACCGAAAAAGGGAATGTGTATAGTAGTGCGGACGCTCCAGGTAGTAAAACCAGATCAGGCCAAAAAAGGTGGTGTTGTGCGTGCCATATTCTTAGGCAAAACTTCAAAATAACATTGAAAAAATTTAAAACGAACCAAATCAGATACTGCTTGGATATGCTAGAGTTCCCTTACATCCTCTTATAAGCACACAGCTCAGGAAATGACATCTTTCACCATGGCATACAAACATATAAGGTAAGAGTGGCACAAGACTCCCTCTAGAAAGTAGGATTTTGCGGCACCAAATGGATATAGGGTCTTCGAAGCGTTTTGTGGGCCCAGGCTCATTGGTGATTGCAGTTCTCAATGTAGGTGTAGAGAATATACCAGATGTCTTGAACAAGAGGTACTGGTGGCCATTGCTTTCCTAAGTCTTACTTGATTTCTGCTAGAACTGCACCACTTGCAGTAGTTTCAAGGGTCCATACCTCACAGTGATCGCAGCACGTCAGCCTGGGCGTACAGGGTTCCCAGAGGAAAGAGTAGGTATTGACATCATGGGGCCTCTACCACCCGCCATGAGAGGAAACCGGTATATTCCGGTTATGGTAGACTATTTCACAAAAGTAGACGAGGTAGAGTCCATGAAGACACAGGATGCAGAAATGATTGCCTTTGGTTTCTTCAGTTGGTTCATTTGTCAGCATTGAGTGCCTGAATGAGTTCATAGTGATCAAATCTCTGAATTTAGAAGCCGAATCCTTCCTGAACTATACAAGACCTTCCTAATCTAAAAGACATTCTTAACACCTGGTCACCCGAAAGGTGATGCACAGGCGGGAAGCATCAATTGCACTCCAATTGAACTACTAAAAACTTACACCAAGGATACACAAGTGGAAGACTGGGATGTAAGCCTAGGAAGTGTCCTCCTAGTGTACATAGCTACAGGTCACATATCAACAGGCGTTTCAACGTTTAAGATGATCACGGGTCGTGGAGTGAGGGTGCTTTCAATATCCTCCTACCAAACACGGGAGCAGCAGCAAACAACATCCCCGCTTGCATACCACTTCTAAAAGGAGGCATAAAACTGATAACATCGAACGTCTACACTAACGACTATCTTATTTTAGGAAGGAGAAATATCGCTACAAACACACACCGAATAACATCTACCAAGGACACTTAGTATAAACGTACAGGCCGATTCTCCCACCTGAAATACACCGCAAGTTCCATCACTCTTGGTAAAGGCTCTCTCACCTACAAACTACCTTATCTGCAGCGCGAAACTTATATGCCCAGATAATAACCGTTCATCACAACAAGATGCATCTTTACAACGGTACACCACCGCTTGGATACGAAGAAGAAATTAGCACATTAACGAAAGAAAAAATGCACCTGATGGCATATACAGCAACAGTCCATAATGGCAGCGTTGATAACGGTGCTGAAATGGCGAGGCAGTCATAAAATACTCATGTCGTTAAGATGGACCTTTAAGTTGAGAAGCGTTTTGCGAACTCAAAGTTCGTAATGGAGGAGTGGTCAGTATTCCTCGAGGCGGAGAAGAGTCCAGTACACCAACTTTCCTAAATCAGTTCTTCTAAAATTAACCCTGAGTTACAAACATGTCCTAAATGAATCAATCTGTTCGTTGAATAAGTATGAGGGGCAGAAAGGAGGAAATAAATGAGGAAGTTGCTAAAATGCATTACTTATACTTCCGTAAAACATATGAATTGAAGGACCACCTATTTTTTTATGACATCAATATGTAATATCCAGTTAAAAACAAAGTACTCTGTGTATTACTTTATCATTCCTAGATCCGTATGCCCAGGTATCTTTTATAACAAAGATTGATTTATCATACTTGCACATTATAGAGTAACTGTTTTTAAACAACGTTTTACGTTTTACGCTTTACGTTTTGTGGCTGTTTTACTCTTGGAAATTCGTTGAGTTAAATAAGTTCTAAATTGGCACTGGTTCGTTTAATTTGCCACTTTTAAGGTCATCGGCTACAATTCAGTATATTATCTGTCGGCAAGGTGGTTTCATTGTGGATTTTGCCTAGATAGGCTTTAGTTGTCAAAAAAGCAAAAAAATGTCAAATGCATGGCTTTACTTAGTGGAAATAATGGTCCGGATCTTAGAGCGAACGTGAGTGCATCTGTCTGTGCTGAATGTGATGAGAGTGAAGGGTTTAGTGAAGAACAGTTAATTTAAAAGTTGATTTGCTCTTTTGCGAATGAGTCTCAAATTGGAAGTTGTTGTGGTGTGTTTCATGTCTCGGCGGCTTCGATGTAAACGTTTTTGGGGAGAATTTGCTGTTAACCTTTTTTTGAACGTCTTCACGATTACATGGTTACAGTTGCAATCTCCAAGTTGTTGCAGTAACCATGTCAGTCGAGTTTATTGTGCTTGAAGGATGTGGATACAGCTGCATTATTCGTTGAAAGGGTACTTGAGTATGCTCCTCCCCATCGGTAAACTGAGTCGCTTCTTCTGCAGCTTCGTTAGACGCAATTTGAACATACGTGACCCGAGGTGGTAAAGGTTCTGCTACCAATGGGACGTTGACGTGTATTGCAGCAGTTGAAGTAACCCTTTTGTGTCTGCCGTTAGGGCTTCCTCAAATATCCCAAACCTCTTTCTGATTTGGAGTCAGGAGAGATGACATTTGCACCCGTTGGTGGTGAGTCATTCAATTAGT